TGGTCACAGGAGGAAGGGAATCTTGCATCATAAACTCTTCTTCTTGCTGGAATAAAATGAAGTAGTTGCATCCTTCAGGGATTACAGCTTCAAACCTCCATCTAATTATTCTCTTTTTTCTTTCTTTCCTGCTGTAGCAAACATTCGGTTGAAAAACAGACAACACTTTGTGATGACGAATATAGCAGTTGCTACACAGGCCAGCAGGAACCCAAGCACATCCAGAGAGTGGTACTGGAACCAGGTGAGGTCGTGGGCTGCAACCCGAAGGTGTTTGGCTCCTTTGTGGCGCATGACAAACTCGATCCAGAAGACTGCTCTATCAAGAGGTTTCATTGGCTGATCACGTTGAATTCTTGATAATTTCATAGCATTCTCTTTAAACCTGAAGGAAAAACATCAACATTCCAACATCAAAATACGTTTATTGCCTAAACATCTAAAATCTTGGAAAGATTTTTGTAAAGTATCAAAATTAATGCCATAGTTTTGCCTTAGAGAAGTACACTTATACTTGGGTGATTATGGAAAGTTTGGCTTTTATTTATTGACTTTTTTGAGACAGAGTCTCACTGTGTTGCCCAGACTAGGGTGCCATGGTGTCAGCCTAGCTCACAGCAACCTCACACTCTTGGGCTCATAGGTCCTCCTGCCTCAGCCTCCTGAGTAGGTGGGACTACAGGCATGCACCACCACGCATGGCTAATTTTTTCATATGTTTTCAGTTGTCCAGCTAATTTCTTTGTATTTTTAGTATATATGGGACCTCGCTCTTGCTCAGGTTGGTTTCAAACTCCTGAGCTCAAACGATCAGCCTCCTAGAATTTTAGGATTACAGGCGTGAGACACCATGCCTGGCCAAGTTTGGGTTTTATGTAGAAATTTTCTCATTAGGAAATATATACATAAAAGCATATGGAAAAAATATATATTTGTTTGATTATTTATTTATTTTTGTAGAGATGAAGTCTTACTCTGGTGCCCAGGCTGGAGTTGGTGACATGATCATAGCTCACTGTAACATTGATCTCCTGGCTCAGAAGATCCTCCTGCCACAGCCTCCTGA